TATAAAATTGGTCAATCAGACCAATCTTATATCGGTCCCCTCCGGGCAACCTTATTGTGGGGGGTTGTAACCAATACAACCCCTTTCGAAGTGTGTCAATGGGAGAACCACTTGGGGACAGTTCCAGGACATCCCCAGCCCTGAAAAACTGGCTCCCCCTAAGCTGTGGGAGTTGCTCCTCCCATTTCTGCAGTAGGAATGGGAGTTGAACCTGGGTGTTAGCCATTCTTGCCCATCTTGATTCACTCCTTAGCTCCCGTAGAGTTGTAAGAATGCCATCAAGTAAGACTCAGATTGGTCAACAGACTGTTTGAAACTAGAAACTCAAGATGGTGTGGTGAAGAAACTTGATGCTCTATATCCAAGATCTATCCCTTGCTCCTATAAATTCAAGTGCTATTGCTTGATCCTATAAAGTCAAGTGCTATTGCTTGATCCTACAAAGTCAACCAACTGATTCAGACCCACTTGCAAGATGCTGTGACCTCACACAACTGGAATGGAATTACATGCAGCAACTCAGTCTAGTTTTTCGACTACTGCAGTTTAGGTTTCTTGACCCTACAAATTCAACTGATGGGATGAAACCAGAAGGAAATGGGACAGGTTTTCAGGGATGATACAGGGGACTGATAAGCATCTGTATAAAATTTGAGTGATAGGACTGATAATTTTTGAGTCACTTGTACAGTGCCCTCCCAGAAGTATATAGCACCCCAATTACTTTGTTTAAAAAAAGAAATATACAACCTCAGGCTCCAGGTTTTTGCACACTGGTGGGCAGTGAGATGATAAAAGATACTGTGGAACAAAAAAAAAGAAAATTTGATTCCATCATATTTTAAAAAAATGAAATGAAAATGTGTTTTTTTTTTTAATAATAGTTTAAAAATACAAAAAAAATATGGAGGGGGTAGCTGAGAGGCCAGGAAGAATGACTATAAAAAAATATTTGAAAAAAAGTCAAAAATAAATGAGTAATCTCAATATTTGATTGGGCCACCATCAGCCTCTACAATAAGGTGCATTTGATTAGGCATAGAATTGACCAAGTTGCGGAGGTGTTCCACTGGAATGTCATCCCAGGCCTGTTGGATTGCCTGCTTCATCTCAGGGATTGACTTTGGTTGGTAATGCTCTTGAATTCCGTTCTTGATTATCTTCCAGAGGTTTTCGATTGGATTTAAATCTGGTGATTGAGGGGGCCATTCGATCGTGTTGATGTTGTTGTCATCGCAAAATGCCTTGGTGATCTTAGCTACATGAGAGCGGGCATTGTCCTCCATCAACAGAAGTTTATGGTCGGGATCGATTGAAGCCAGTGTGTTGACTAGTCCGCCTTTGTAAACTTGGTCGATATAGTCGACCGCTTTCGTACCACCCGCTCGAAGGAAGATGATCGGAATCTTTGTAGTTCCATAGAATGCGCCCCAAATTGAAGTCAAAGAGCGCCCACCCTTGAAAGTGGGCTCAAGGCATTCGGTTTTCATCTGTTCGTTGGGTTGTCGCCATACACGGACCTGTTTGGACTTCTTCCCAGTCTCGAACGAAGATTCATCGGACCAAATGACCTTGCTCCAGTCGGCAATAGTCCATTCAAGATGTTCACGAGCGAAAGCGAGGCGTTTTTTTCGGTTTTTATCACTTATAAAAGGTTTCTTCACAGCAATTCTGCTGTGGTATCCCAACTCATGAGCTCGTCTTTGGACAGTTGATCTTGAGACCGGGTTCGGCATTGAGTCACCGACCTCAGCAAGAGACAGCTTCGGATGGCTCCCCAAGAAATTTCGGAGCTGACAGATATCGTGATCTGTATTCAGACGAGGCCTGCCAGGCTTAGCGGCTGTTTAAACAGTTCCGAGGGTGCAAGAACGGTTGACAATTGCCGAAACGGTCGATCTTGCTAAGCCAACGACCTTAGCGACGTTGGTATGTGACATACCAGCTTCAACCATACCAGCCACCCGAGCTTTTTTCTCGGTGGTGAGGTTTGGTTGGCCACGTGTACGCCCCATCGATGAGCTCGCTGGAGCAGTTGTTGCCCTGGTCACCAAAAAAGAAAAAAAAAAAAAACGGTCAGCAACGACATTGTCCGTCTGCGTAAAAGACAGCGAGACTACTCACTACGCTTGGCAAGCTGAGTAGCTCGCTCCTCTCCTTCACTACGCTTGGCAAGCTGATTAGCTCGCTTGTTCGCTCTGTTGTGGATTCCTGGTCACCAAAAAGAAAAAAAAAAAAAACGGTCAGCAACGAGATCGTCTGTCTGAGGAAAAGATAGCAAGACTACTCACTACGCTTGGCGAGCTGAGTAGCTCGCTCCTCTCCTTCACTACGCTTGGCGAGCTGATTAGCTCGCTCGCTTGCTCTGTTATGGAGCCCTGGTCACCAAAAAAAAAGAAAAAAAAAAAACGGTCAGCAACGAGATCGTCTGTCTGCGTAAAAGACAGCGAGACTACTCACTACGCTTGGCGAGCTGAGTAGCTCGCTCCTCTCCTTCACTACGCTTGGCAAGCTGATTATCTCGCTTGTTCGCTCTGTTGTGGATTCCTGGTCACCAAAAAGAAAAAAAAAAAAGGTCAGCAACGACGAGATCGTCTGTCTGAGGAAAAGATAGCGAGACTACTCACTACGCTTGGCAAGCTGAGTAGCTCGCTCCTCTCCTTCACTACGCTTGGCAAGCTGATTATCTCGCTTGTTCGCTCTGTTGTGGATTCCTGGTCACCAAAAAGAAAAAAAAACGATCAGATTCTTATATTCGTCTGAGGAAAAGACAGAACAATAATTGCTACGCTTACGCTTGTCGAGCGGAGTAGGTTGCTCGTTTTGTAGCGCTCTCGGTCAGGAGTAGTGATGCGTGGTGTCAGTTTCGAGGTTGCTGGTCTCAGTTGCCAGGTTTTCCAGCCTGTGCATTAAGTCAACTGGTCATTGTTGAGGCTGATGGTGGCCCAATCAAATATTGAGATTACTCATTTATTTTTCACTTTTTTTCAAATATTTTTTTATAATCATTCTTCCTGGCCTCTCAGCTACCCCCTCCATATTTTTTTGTATTTTTAAAACTATTATTAAAAAAAAAAAAAACACATTTTCATTTCATTTTTTTAAAATATGATGGAATCAAATTTTCTTTTTTTTGTTTCACATTATCTTTTATCATCTCACTGCCCACCACTGTGCAGAAACCTGGAGCCTGAGGTTGTATATTTCTTTTTTTAAACAAAGTAATTGGGGTGCTATATACTTCTGGGAGGGCACTGTACCTAAAGGATGAAGCAACTGAATAGGATAGGTTAAAATGGTTAAAAAATTGGAAAATTGAAGCGCAACAGAGTCACTGGGTGAGCTGTGTAAAATCCAAGTGAAAACACTTGGAAACAACTTTTAGATACATGCAGAGATTTGAATTTAAGTAACAGTATTGTATTGGAGGGGAATAAAAACCCTAGAATGCACATCTCATGATGATCTTGATCCCAGTGGTACTCCTTCCTTCACTCATCAGCTTTACAGTCATACATAACTTGGAATTGGCTTGTTTGGTTGAATCTTGTTTTGTTATTTCCCATTCAAACTTACGCTCCTCCATAGCCATATGCTTGGTAAGGTAGGAGAATTTTTTGTTGGAGGATAATTTGAATGCAGCTGCAACAGTTGAATTGCATTGTTGGTTTCTGGTTGGCTAGCCTCTCCCTCTCCTCTCCTTGGCCCTAGAACCAATTGGTTCTCCTTTTTTTGATTTGGAAAACAACCTTGAGAGGGACCGGCTTTGATGGGTGGATTTTTGGCTTCATCTGCAGCATCTTCAGCCTCATCATGAGCAACTGACCTCTGGAGGCTTCCAAGAATTGATGCCATGGTGCAACAGAGCTGATTGGGCCCAGTTTGGATGAAAAGACCACTTGGCAATGGCTGAGATTGGCCAGCAAGGTGATTCTTTGCTTGAGGGGCTGGAGTAGACCTGGTACAGTTGCGCACGTCATTAACCTGTACTGGCTCGCCTGCAAAATTTACATTTTGGGTGCGGGCCATTCAGTCGGGTACCAAGTGAGTCAAACCCACAAGCTGACCACAATTTTGGAGCTCATTGACCTTGTAGATTCAAAAATAACTCGGCTAAGTTCT